GGAGGCAAAGAGACAGCAGCTTTATGTGCTGAAGCTGGGCAGTGGTAGACATGCCTTTTTGGGTTAAACCCGACAAGATCCTGCAAATGTATCAGAGGCTTGCAGAAGCCGCCTGGAACTCAATTTGAAAGTTGTATTTCCAAACGACACTCCGGCCAGAGAGGAGCAGCTGCGTGACCACCAGATGTGTGAGCAGGACACCACATGACCTTCTCCTAGAAATGATCGGCCCCTGGCTTTAACCTACCTATGTTCACCAGGCTAAAGCACGTGAAGCTTCAAAGCAGGGTCGGGTATGATACTTATGTACAAGCACGCAGGTTGCAGTAGAAAAGCCAAAGAGCCAAAACCAAGCTACAATAGAAAACCCATTATCCTCGAGAAGTTGCCAGCTGCTCACCAACAAAACTATCTAAGTAACTCATGACGTGGAACCCTTGTCACGTGACATTCTCGACGTAGGCGTCATGGGAGGGACTTCGCAACAAAAGCTACATGATGTGAAGCGGGATGGGTGCGGCAGCAGGTCATGCAACCTTTTCCCACACTCCCGGAGACTATTATGACACTTCAGCCCAGCCCGTTCAGACAGAGCTCCTGACCCTAAAAGCCTGGCCCCGAATCAATTAGCCACATCCCCCCGGGCCTTCTCTCCACACCCTTCCGGTGGCAACAGGCAGCTGTCGAGACTGGATCTTCCTCACTCCTGTCGATGCTGGAAGCGCATAAGGTCCAAAAACCCATGGAACGTTACTTCAAGAGTTTCAGGTTGTGTGAGGGGCGCATAGGCTATCAAGATCTACGCACATCATCCCCGATTTGTTCTGACACGCCGGACACTGATTACCGACCCTGGCTGAACTGACTTAGCATAACTGCGCAGACCCTCTGCAGGATGGTTCAAGCAGCAACACGAAATCGTGAGTGCTCATCAGCCGCGAGACTACCGCAACTGTCTGTGCTCGCCTTGAACTGTGTGCTGAAAGCAGACCCGTGGATTGATGTAGCAAATGGTATTTGTAAAGCCGAAAAACCTTCGCAACTGAAGTCACAGGGCCAGTTTGTTTGCTGGTCCCCCAGGCGGTTTGAGCACGGACCCGGCGGCTTACAACAAGATATACTATCTGTACCGGATTGCTTCCACAAAGTTGCAAAGAAACTGGCTGCATGTCACCACCTACCGCCAACCTTGCCACCGCCGAAGACCACCATCACTCCTTGACAGTCCTGATAGAATTCCACACTTCAGTAGAATGTAACACAATGTACGCCAAAGTCCTGGTCCTGTTCCAATTAGTAAGGCCCCTACATTGCAATCTCTGCAAACCAGTATTCCATGTCTTGTTCCATTTGCTTATCCACCATGGGAGCTAAATCCTATTCCTGAAACTGTAATCTTCAACCCCAGACTTCAAAGTCTTAACTTGAATGGCTCTCCAATCCCTAGACCCTAAACTCTAACCCCGAACTGTAAACCCCTAAATAACCCCTATATCAATCCTATCATGATATACTAGTTTTCATTTTCTTGTCCATTTTCCCTGTATAACCCCATTATAAACCTGATTATAATATAGTTACCCTGTAGAACACCACTCACATGCCTTCGGGAGCTGGCAGTGGCGGAGGCACCCAAACCTCTGCGTCTTCGCGCCTGTTACGTAGACTTACTGGTTGATAGCGGGTTATGCTGCACAGAGGTTATGTAGGGGGTATATAGGGGTTGTATAGGGATACTTTAATGGACGCAACTGTTTAAGGTGTAAGGATATTTAAGGTAAGGGGCTGTTCCATTCCTCCATTCCCTGCTAATAACGAGTGAATAGAAAGAGATCAGACAGGCAGTTTGTCGCGTAGCGGCTTATCAGGATTTATAAGTTTCACGGTTGTGGAGCTTATGGGGTTTGTTTGATGGAACGGCCTCTACCTTAATGTTGGACCTCCTTTAGTGTAGAGGTCCCCTATAATGTATTTTGGGGGCTGGGGTATTGAGGACCTGGGCAATGATTTGAAGTCCCCTATAATGTGTTTTGATTTTGGGGCCTTAAAAATATAGGAAGGATTCTCAACAATCCCTTTTAAATCAATCTACAGGGAACTCAGAACCGTGGGAGCTCAGGGGGGCCGTATTGAGGCCCTTCTAATTTCCATTTTTCGAATTGCCCTTATGTTGGGGGGGGGCCCTACTTATTTAAGAGGGCCCAACATTAAACCCTAAACGGCAGCTTCCATGTTCTTTTCCATTATCCCTATAGAACCCATACGGATTAGCAGAATAGCAAGAAGGTGAGGGGCTACCTATTCAGAATTCCATGGGGTGAGTTTCACAAACTTTCATGTAGGTTTCGCGCTTCAAGCTGCAGTAAATGTATGAGTGCGTCGCTATTGTCATAAAATGTCTACAGCCCTCGTCTTCATATAGTCCCTCGAATCTTTCCTTCCTGCATTAGAGTAGCAGCAGTCTGGCCCCACAGGAGCGATTGGCAACAGCAGGTACTTGCAGCAGAATACCAGAATTCTTGACCGACAAAAGCGCAAATTCTTGGCGGAGCTTCATCAAACGCTGTGCTTCTTGCAAAGTTTCACTACACAAGCTGTGGTCTGCATGGAAGCGGCTATGACTCGCAAGTTGGCAGCGCTAGCACAAACAGTGCCACATCTAGCAGTCAGAAGTCAGAAGGAAGCAACTGGAGCTGTTGCCAAAAATATCCGACAGGACTGTTCGGGAGTTTGCCTTTGTACCGTTAGGGCTTGTACCCTTGGGCGTGGGTCCCCAACCATGGAATATGGGTCTCAATGGGGGTATCTGGGACCCAAAACCTAGGGTTACAAAGATTAAGGGTACAAACTTAAAGTCTATGAACTGTCCATGAGAGCTCTGAAGTTCAGTTACATGTACAGTTGAACAGGTCTCCCAGGATACAGGTTGAGCAGCTGCTTAAGGTGTTCGCTGCGTCTAGATACTTGGAGGCTTGACCGGACGAGCTAAGTATACTGACAAGCCCTATAAGCGATACATAGTAACCCCAGTTTTACCCTGGGCTCTTTAGCTCCCCTTATTATATTCATATAGACTATCCCTAGCTCCTTAGCTCCCCCCAAAAGTATGGGTAGTTACCTAGTCCCCTCAGTCCAAGTATGCAGGTGGCAAGCATTAGTACACGCCTTTGACCATCAGGAAAGGGAGCTGGGGCTTCATCTTCAAGGAACTCACCGAACCCAAAACCATGAACCCTAAATGCTCAATGCTAAGCCGGCCCAAAGCCCCAAATCCTAACGGTCAACCCTAAACCTAAAGTCCCGAACTTTAACCCTAAACCCAAAATCTCGAACCCAATGTCCTAAACCCACAACAGAAAAAAAAGCAATCTGTAACCTAAATCCTGCACCCGAAGCCATGCCCCAAACCCTACATAAAATGTCAGCTCTAGTTTCCGTTTACATTAGATTCCCTAAGCTCCCTATACCTTGTCCTAAACCCTAAAATCCCTAAACCCTGCATGCACATAACCTACTATAGTAGTGTCCATTTTCTTTTCCATTATCCCCACAAAACCCCAATAACCAATAATACAACCCTAATAACACCCCAACATAACCCCAACATAACCCCATAACCCCTATAGACCCTATTATGGTAGTTTCCATGTTCTTCTCCATCATGGCCTATATAACGCCAACAAAACTCAATATATACCCTATTATAGTATAGTAGTTTCCATGTTCTTTTCCATTATCCCTATATAACCCCTATAAAACCCTATGTTCTATCTACTTTAGGGGGACTATAGGGGTTTGAGGTTGAGATGCTGTATATTGACTGTAGACCCTGT